CCTACCGATCGTGCCAATAGACACATGATCTAGCCACTAGGTCATCGACGCCCGAGCAGCTGAAATGCAAAGGACGCCACTTTCCCCGTCTCCTAAAGGATGTTCTGATTATTTTTAGTGAGTGTATTACGGCGCTCGCAACTGCATAAGGTCATATGGTCGCGCGGGACACATCTAACATTTTCAGTCGGTTGGAAATTTTGACTTTTGCCCGAGTGGAGGCCGAAGCCTACTCTTATCGATTTTTGACCACCAAAGGACCTTTAACGTGCGCAACTTGCACACGGGATCTCCGAGATTTTTCGCCCTTGTCCGAGAAGGCTAGGCGTAGATCTTTCCTACCAGAAGATCAGGGGTGTGGCTGAAAGACAGCAGTATGAAAAAGCCAACGAGAAGTAGTGGAAAGGCTGCAGAAAAAGTCAGGAGCACAGAGGTGGGGGCAAAGGAGGTAAGGGGTGGGGGCAGAAAGTGGAGACGAAAGCAGACGACATAATTTTGCTAGAGACCAGGAAAGGAAGTGAAAGGAGAACATTTTATAGAAGAATTTTTGTCCGTCGCTACCCGGATTCGAACCCGGGACCTTTGAATGAGAGGCAAATACCTTAACCTCAAGGACACGTCGAGAGCCCCCCAAGGATGTTCTCTATTGTGAGCTCTTTGAAGGAGGCAGGGAAAGAGGCTGACAAAAACTGCGCTATACCGACGTTCTTTGACGTCACACGGAGAACTGTCACAGAAATGACAACACTCGAGAACAAAAAATTAAACAATAAATAAATAATAAATAAATAAATTACACTTTTATTTGTCCCAGAAGGGCACTTTGTTTTACAATGGCAAACATACATACATAAATACATAATTATAAATACGTACATACATAAATACATACATGCATAAATACATACATAAATACACACTATTACACAAATACAGAACAGTTTACAAACAATGCCACTGTCGGTCGCCACTGTGCAGCGCCCTGTAATTTGAGCTAGGGTTGTCGTGTCTTGCTCAAGGACACACTCCAGTGACCACCCATCTGATCCCCGTGTCACCGACACTTGCTTGACATTGCTTGAGTCAAAACTCACTACTCACTTAGCCACTGGAGCCCCTAAATTGTCATGGCTCGTCCAAAACGACGAGCAGCACTTCGAAGGTCCAGGGTTGCAGTGGAACGGAAAAAGCAAGAAACCTAAACTCTCACAACACCAGACAATGCTGACCACCAGAGTCAAGTTTTCTAAGTCTAAATTCTTGTCTGGAGTAAATCACAGTCACCGTCATCATTGATACCGATTGACAGCCGAAGAAATAAGAGGTCGGGTGGTTGACAGGTGCTCTAGTATGGTTTGCTTCTTTTTTCCTATCAAACATATATTATTGTCTTGGTCTCCCAGCCTTTTTAAAAAATTTTTTTTAGCTTTTTACCCTCTTGCAACACTTCTAATTTTTTGCACTAATATGACCCGTGTGTGTTGCAAGTTCCATAAAACTCTTATTAAAAGAAGAAGGAGGTCACGGCTACCGACACCACAATGTGTACTTACATTTTCATTTGCTCCTTGTCAAGCTTTTTTGTGCGAGATACCTCTACTTCTGGGCAGATGAGCTTTGAGACAGCCATACCGGCCGGGGCTGACATCAACACCGCCGATATGATGTGGGAAGATGGCATCTGATCGAGAGAAAAAAACGATTAGAAAGGTTAAATGACGATGAGTACAATTGAAGCTTTTGTTGTTGTTGGTGGTGGTGGGGGGGGGATGGTGTTTTTGTTGTTGTTATTGCTGCTAAAAAAAATCTTTAAAGGGGTATAAGCGGCTGATGAAAGTAGAGTAAAGTTATTGCTGGTGGTGGTGGTGGTGGTGAAAGTGATCATATTTTTCTTGTTCTTGTTCTTGTTGTGGTTGTTGCTGTTGTTATTGTCGCTGTTGCTTTTCCTGTTATTGTTGTTGATGCAGTGCTGTCTTTGTTATTGTTGGTTCTACTGGGTGGCCAAGGGAGAGGGAGGGGGTGCGAAAAGAAGAGGAGTGAGGAAAGGGAGAGGGGGGAGGAAGAGGGGTGGAGGAAGGAGAGGGGTTGGTGGAGACCAAGAGAAGATCACGATGTAGGTACACTCTGTGCTTGTCATAAGGAATAAGTCTCGCAAACGTGTGAGAAATTTCGAAGGTGAGAAAATATGAATGTGCTAACTGTATCATCTAAGCTGTCGAAATAACAAGTCACTGTTCGTAAAAACCAGTAGAAGACGACGACGTCAATGCACTGAAAGTAAAGAAACCAAAGAAAATACGGTGAAACTACTCTGTGGCCTAGGTTACCAAATGAACACAAATAGCTTTGACGTAAAAAACAACCCAATGTAATTCATCAATATCTATCTATCTATCTATCTATCTATCTATCTATCTATCTATCTATCTATCTATCTATCTATCTATCTATCTATCTATCTTTCGATCTATTTTTCTGTCTATCTATCTATCTATCTATCTATCTATCTATCTATCTATCTATTATAAATTATATTATATGAATGACCTGCTTCTTGACAGACGATCTTAAAGCAGTACGCATGCTACAGTTTTGCCTGGGTGGTAGACATCGAGAGAATAGATTGCACAAGTACTGCTAACTACCCTCCCTCCAGATCTTCAGACTTCATTTATATATTATATGTTTGAGCAAAGCCGAGAAAACCGAGATCGTTAGCTTTGGCTTTAAACTATGTATTTGTTATTGAAATTATAAATGTCATTGATTCATGCCCCCATTAACCTGATCCAAATTCATATAACAGGCTAGTTGCTTCGATCATATCTAGAGCTGGGCGAAGAATCGATTCCTGAACCGATTCCAGCTATTAGAATGATTCGATTTAGTTTTACGTAAATCAAAGGTAACCAGTTACTTTATTTATTTAGATTTCTGTTTTCTATTAATATATATATAATTTTTTAAAGTTCTTTTCTGAAGAAAAAAAATCGTTGGGTACCTCGCCGTGTTCCAAAATTGAGGCTATTCTGAATCCTGAAGCTTTTTTTAACCGACTACTCTAAGGTATCGAATAAGCGCCAACCGGTTATTAATTTTCAGGGTTTTTTGGTGCATCCCATATCCACCGTTTACTATTTTCCAGCTTGCCACAACCGGTGATCATGTGAAATTTCATACCTAGAATCTAGATATTCGAATGAAACTACTTTTATTTTTGTAAATTGCAAATTACCCTCAGTATTAGTACCGGCACCGGGTTGGCTACCTCAATTTTCTGCATTATAAAAACTTTTGTACACTGGTTTATATTTTTTTAATGAAACTGGTTTGTTCCGAAAGAGGAAGAGTTGTTAAAGTAACTTACTAAAATCATTAAAATTTCATGATCTCTTGTTCTTTTATTCACTGAAGGAGAAATAAAACAGATGTATTCCTACTAGTACAGTGGTAGGAGGTTGAATGTGCCACCCTCCCCCCTTTCCCCCTTTTTTATCCCCCCCCCTCTCGTTTATTAATTTTGGATCACTTGTCCAACCTCCCCCACCCTTTTTTATTCGAGAACTTGCAGTAGGTGTTGGACTCATTATACGTAATCAAAGACTCCCCGAAAGTACTCACAACATGCCGGAAGTAATCAAGTAATTATCTAGGGGGCGGACCACCGGAAGAAATCCACTGTCAGGACGAACTCAGGCTGAGTGGAACACAGAACCTCATGTACCAGGCGGAGATACTCGATAGATTGGACTACTCCCGGCTTCCTAGTCTAGATCTAGATCCAAAGCCTACCTAGTCGGGTTTGTTTGAAGATACGGCGGACATTTAACTGGCGAAAGACCCGGAGTTTTTCTGAGTTTTCCTTAATTAATTGTTAGTGTTTTACACCTCCACCGACATAATTTAGATCGTTTGGAAGGCGGAGTGATTCGACTCTGCTTTTCAGGGTCAACTTAGGTAGAGAGGAATACAACGTCTCAGTAGACAGACTAAGATACTTCATAAATTTTTTCCTCACAAGAACGTCAAACTTTCCCATCTTGTGTGTGCAGCAGCAAAAATACCTAGCCTTCATAACATAGATACTGGTACCGTAATTTTCTCGAAACTTGTAAACATTCAAGAGAACAGTAATCTTCTAACCAGAAGACTTTGCCAATTAGATTTAATCAAATTGAATAGGGGCCAGGCAGATTCTCCTTCACGTTAGGGCAAAAGCTACCATTTTTGAATAATTCGACCGATTCGGCTCGCGACCTTTAAAAAAAAGCGTTTGATTTGAGATCACAGTAGAACTTCGTCGAATATTCTGTCGCTTTCTGCCATAGCAGTAGCTCCAACACCCCCCCCCCCCAATTTACCAACTCATTCCAATGAATTCAGTTGTTTGTGTGCTTTCATGTGAGTACAAAACACACCCCTTAGTTTTATTAAGAGTTTTAAGGCACATTGCAACACAACAGTGTCATAAAAAACAGGCCCCAACCTACCCCGTAGTGGACAAAGAGAGAAAACATGTCTGCTGAGACGGAGGCGAACCCGGCGGTCAAAATGGCGAACAGCTCAGACCTGGTCATCAGCTCCAGGTACGGCTTTATGGTCAGGGAGGCCTCGGGCTGGGGAAAATACAGGACAAAATACAGCACTATTTACAACCTCTATGATACAGAATTATAGTGACGTCGCAAGAAGGTTACTTTATTTTAACCTTCAACTTAAGACGTCTACATAAGACGTTTCAGGTAAATACTGCACATCTTTTAACAACCCACACATACTTACACACACGCGCACACCAACGCACGCACGAACGCACACACACACACATACACACACACACACACACACACACACACACACACACAAACACACAGACACACATATACATATATACACACACAGACACACACACACAG